CAAACACACACACCCAAACACACACACACACCCAAACACACACACACACACACACAAACACACAGACACACACACACACCCAAACACACACACACACACCCAAACACACACACACCCAAACACACAGACACACACACACACCCAAACACACACACACACCCAAACACACACACAACCAAACACACAGACACACACACCCAAACACACACACACAAACACACACACACAATTACACACACCCAAACACACACACACCCAAACACACACACACCCAAACACACACACACACCCAAACAAACAGACACACACACACACCCAAACACACACACACACACCCAAACACACACACCCAAACACACACACACACACCCAAACACACACACACACCCAAACACACACACCCAAACACACACACACACACACCCAAACACACAGACACACACACACACACCCAAGCACACACACCCAAACACACATACACACCCAAACACACACACACACCCAAACACACAGACACACATACACACACACACACCCAAACACACACACACACATTCACACACACACACACCCAAACACACACAGACAATCACACACACACACACCCAAACACACAGAAACACACACACACACACCCAAACACACACACACACACACACCCAAACACACACACCCAAACACACACACACACCCAAACACACAGACACACACACACACACACCCAAACACACACGCCCACCCAAACACACACACACACACCCAAACACACAGACACACACACAGACACACATACACACACCCAAACACACACACCCAAACACACACACACACCCAAACACACACACACAACCAAACACACAGACACACACACACACCCAAACACACACACACAAACACACACACACAATCACACACACCCAAACACACACACCCAAACACACACACACACACCCAAACACACACACACACCCAAACACACAGACAAACACACACACACACACACACCCAAACACACACACACACACACCCAATCACACACACACACACAATCACACACACAAACATTCAGACCCACACACACACACCCAAACACACACACACACACACACACACACACCCAAACACACAGACACACACACACACACTCAAACACACACACACACACCCAAACACACACACACACACACCCAAACACACAGACACACACACAAACACCCACACACACACCCAAACACACAGACACACACACACCCAAACACACACACAATCACACACACACACACCCAAACACACACACCCAAACACACACACACACCCAAACAAACAGACACACACACACCCAAACACACACACACACACACACCCAAACACACACACCCAAACACACACACACACCCAAACACACAGACACACACACACACCCAAGCACACACACCCAAACACACATACACACACACCCAAACACACAAACACACCCACACACACCCACACACCCAAACACACACACACACCCAAACACACACACACCCAAACACACACACACACACACACCCAAACACACAGACACACATACACACACACACACCCAAACACACACACATACACACACACACACCCAAACACACACAGACAATCACACACACACACCCAAACACACACCCACACACCCAAACACACACCCACACACCCAAACACACAGACACACACACAAACACACACACACACACACAAAGACACACACACACACAATCACACACACCCAAACACACACACCCAAACACACACACACACACACCCAAACACACACACACCCAAACACACAAACACACACACACACACCCACACACCCAAACGCACACACACCCAAACACACACACACACCCAAACACACACACACACACCCAAACGCACACACACACACCCAAACACACACACACACCCAAACACACACCCAAACCCACACACACCCAAACACACACCCAAACCCACACACACACACCCAACCACACACACACACCAAACACACCCACACCCAAACAGACACACACACACCCCAAACACACAGACACACACACACCCAAACACACACACACACACCCAAACACACAGACACACACACACACACCCAAACACACCCAAACACACACACACACCCAAACACACACACACACCCAAACACACACACACACCCAAACACACAGACACACACACACACCCAAACACACAAACACACACCCAAACACACAGACACACACACACACACCCAAACACACACACACACCCAAACACACAGACACACACACACACACCCAAACACACACACACACCCAAACACACACACACACACCCAAACACACAGACACACACACACACACCCAAACACAGACACACACACACACCCAAACACACAGACACACACACACACCCAAACACACACACACACCCACCCAAACACACACACACACACACAAAACCCCAAACACACAAACACACAGACACACACCCAAACACACACACACACACCCAAACACACACACACACACACCCAAACACACACAGACAATCACACACACACACACCCAAACACACACCCACACACCCAAACACACAGACACACACACATAAACACACACACACAAAGACACACACCCAAACACACACACCCAAACACACACACACACACCCAAACACACACACACACCCAAACACACAAACACACACACACACCCACACACCCAAACGCACACACACCCAAACACACACACACACACCCAAACACACACACACACACCCAAACGCACACACACACACACCCAAACACACACACACACACACCCAAACACACACCCAAACCCACACACACACACACACCCAAACACACACACACACACCCAAACACACACACACACACCCAAACACACACACAATCACACACACACACACCCAAACACACACACCCAAACACACACACACACACCCAAACACACAGACACACACACACACACCCAAACACACACACACACACCCAATCACACACACACAATCACACACACACAAACACACAGACCCACACACACACACCCAAACACACACACACACCCAAACACACACACACACACCCAAACACACAGACACACACACACACACACTCAAACACACACACACACCCAAACACACACACACACCCAAACACACAGACAAACACACACACACACACCCAAACACACACGCACACCCACCCAAACACACAGACACACACACACACACCCAAACAAGCAGACACACACACACACACACCCAAACACACACACACCCAAACACACACACACACACCCAAACACACACACACTCAAACACACAGACACACACACACACACCCAAACACACACACACACAAAGACACACACACAATCACACACACCCAAACACACACACACACCCAAACACACACACACACCCAAAAACACAAACACACACACCCACACACCCAAACACCCAAACACACAGACACACATACACACACACACACCCAAACACACACACACACAATCACACACACACACACACCCAAACACACAGAGACACACACACCCAAACACACACACACACCCAAACACACACACACACCCAAACACACACACACACACCCAAACACACACACACACACCCAAACCCACACACACACACCCAAACACACAGACACACACACACAGACACACACACACACACCCAAACACACACACACACACCCAAACACACACACACACACACCCAAACACACAGACACACACACACCCAAACACACACACACACACACACACCCAAACACACAGACACACACACACACCCAAACACACACACACACACCCACCCAAACACACAAACACACACACACACAACCCCAAACACACAAACACACACACACACCCAAACACACACACACACACACCCAAACACACACACCCAAACACACACCCAAACACACACACCCAAACACACACACACACACACCCAAACACACACACACAACCAAACACACAGACACAACCAAACACACAGACACCCAAACACACACACACACAAACACACACACACAATCACACACACCCAAACACACACACACACACCCAAACACACACACACACACACCCAAACACACAGACACACACACACACACCCAAACACACACACACACCCAAACACACACACACACCCAAACACACACACCCAAACACACACACACACACCCAAACACACACACACACACCCAAACACACAGACACACACACACACACCCAAACACACACACACACCCAAACACACACACACACACACACCCAAACACACAGACACACACACACACACACCCAAACACACACACACACCCAAACACACACACACAACCAAACACACAGACACACACACCCAAACACACACACAAACACACACACACAACACACACACACACACACACTAGGGCGCTTTAAGGAATGTTATACGTTTTGGAGGTTACTTCATTTTCTTACATCGTTCTTCAAAGGGCTCCAAGACTCTGTCAGCACGACATAAATTTGGCAGCTGGAAAAAGCAAACCACGGGACACCGTTTACCAAGCTTCTATCAGAGGAGTTCGTTAGTCTTGTTTCTTGTCTCACACCACCTGTTACAATAACACACGTCATGTGTGTTGCATCTTTCTTGCAATCTCGTACCCTCTTTCCAACAGCGAAGACAGACACAAGGCCTTTGAATAGAATCATTTTAAACCGACTTTCTACCCACTTCAACGACTGTTGCAAAGAGAGTACCGTACTTTTTTGTTGATTTGGGTATTTCATATTAAAAAACAAACCAACTAACAAACAAGCAAACAAACAACATTGTGCTTTTTCTGGTTTCCCTTTAAAGCCACCACAAAAAAAAGAGTACCACCACAACAAAACAACTTTCAGCGGCGTTCGGTTCCTGGCGCGTGGCCGCGCTCCAACTGAGACGATGGCAGGCTGCCAAGCTCAATGGCGTCGGCTCTGACGCCTCGAACGATTCCCCGGTTGCGGAGCTTGGAAGAGTCCGAGCGGGTGGGGGTGGGGGTGGGGGTGGGGGGTGGGGGTGGGGGTGGGGGTGGGGGTGGGGGTGGGGGTGGGGGTGGTTTGGTGCCCGGGGAATCGCCCCTTTTACCCGATGTCCGGAGAAAACCGGGCAAATCTTCCTTGTTTTTTGCCTTCTTCTTTTTTGGGGGTTGGATTCAGTTGGATTCTTGGGTTATGTGGGGTTCTTGTTGAACCCGATGACGCCTGGAGAAGGTTAGAATAAGTTGGTACCCGATTTTTTCTGTAGTCTATTTGAGTAGGGGAACACGCTCCCAACCAAAAAAGTTGGTAAAAGGGCACTACTGGGGGACCGAGCGATTGCACCCGGAATATCGCCTTATTCTAGCCTGCTTCCAAAGAAAACCTGGCGAATTTGAAAGTTTTGGGACTATGTTGGGTGATTTCCCTAGGGTGTAATCCCAGCTGGGGTGTAATATTCCTAAGGGGGGGGGTTGGGCCGCACTTCCCCAATGGCGATTCCTCGGAAAAGCGCTGGCTTCCTCGTGCTCAAAAAGGAAAAACAGCAAAACAAACTGGGCGACGGGGAAAAAAACAAGAAAGAAAACGGGATCTCCTTTCCCAAGAAAGTGGAATCCGTTCCTATACATGCATGAATGGACGCTTTGTTGGCAATGATTTCTGTTTGCTGTTGGACGCTTCCCCCCCAGAAAAGCTCCCGAACAACATGTCGCTGGGCGCCAACTCTTGAGACCCCAAAGGTCTTCCCTCCGGGGTGGAGAGTCTGGGTCCACAAGCCGACAGCCGAAGCCAGGGTCTGGGCGGGGGGTCCAAATCCTCTGGATGGACGCACAACTTGGAAACCATGGTTGAAACCACCGCGTTAGTTGGCACTTACAGAAAAAGTCGACTCATTCCGCCGGCTTTCTGGGGCCCAAGTGCAAAGGGTCCACAGCTATAAACAGGTTTCCCGGCATGTTCACCTTAAGCCGTTGCCAAGGAAAACTCATCAGTGGACCAAACAGGCAACGTTCTGGGTGAATTATAATATTTCACCCTGAAATAAGCTGGTTGGGGGGCCATTCCCCAAATAAACCACCATTTACGGCGAGGTGGGGTGAGGTCGCTAGAATTCCACCAGAACGTTGAAACCCTCGAGGCTTCCGACAAGGACCCTCGCTCGAGGCTTCCCGCGGAACAGTTCCTCCAGCGCAGCCTGCAGCGCCAACTCGTAGTCGCCTCACGCGCAAAGCTTAGCGCGTCGCCTCACGCGGTGAGGAACCCGCCCCTTTGACCCATGCTGAAACAAGTTTCTCCGTCCAACCCCTTCATATGTTGGTAAAAGACCGTTTTGTTTTTGCAGTCCCCTACGAAAAATGAACAGAACCAACAAAAACAAACAAACACTTAAAACACGCCAACAACAGTGAAGAAAAAGGATCTCCCTTGGGGAAGTTGAAGGGACATGCGCGGACCCCTCTGCAGAAACTCCGAGGATCAATGGGCATTACCGAATGGGAACAGGCAATTGTCAGTTTTGCTGTTCTGAGAGGCTATCCATACATGATTCAGAGGGTGGGGATGGCTTTAAGTCGGCACCAGCTCGATTTCCCCTACTTCCTTTTGGGAACCACTACACTTGTGCAGCCCAAAGGCAGCCAAATCCTGTTGAGCGCCGAAAACCACCACGAAGATCTCAGCGCACATGCCGTCTAAAAACCTCACGCAGCCTAACCCTCTTTCATGAAAAGGGCAATTGTTAAGGACACATGTTTTGCAATTTATTTGCCTTAGATGTTAGCCATCTTTGTTTTTCGGCCCTTTGACTCACCGATCGAGTGGATTCGCCAGAAAAAGCAACCTAGCTTTTTGTTCTAGAAACTGGGGCCAGATCAATTTTGGGCAATGACCCCATTTTTAAAGGGTCAAAAGGAGACTCCGGCGAAAACAAGTTTCACTCAGTTGTTCGTGACCCTGGAAAAAAGGGAACCCTTTTTTGGGAAGACCATTTTAGTGGGGCAGCCACCAAAACAAAAGGGAAAAAGGGGGCCACTGAACAACTGAGCGCAGAAAGTGACGATGAAGTCCCGGAACTCGGGGAGTGAGACAGGAGCGAGCGAGAAATGAAGCGAGCGAGGCGCTGGATCGACAGATCTGGGGCCACGGGCGCAAGTTGCTTTCCAGGATGGTGTTGTCCCTAGCCAAGGCCTCAGGGTCTCTGGGAGACTCTGGGTCCCGCAGCTCGTCAATGAACTTGGGGGGCCGCGAAACCTGACAAGCCGGCGGTAGAAGGATACAGATACACATCCTGACTTTTTGTGGGGAACACCCCGCTAGAAACTTTCCAAAACACGGGATTTGCCCCGAGGGGATACGAGACAAAAGAAGCATCAAGCATCAATGCAAGTGCTGGTTAGCTCTGCTCCGATTTCAAAGTTAAGACCCCCACCAAACAAATCCATCGTGCTGGGCCAAAGTCGCGGCCACGGTATCTGGGCTAACTGGGCAACCGCGGCTGGGATCAGCTGCTTTGCGGCAAGGAACTGGTTCTGCTCCTGATACCAACTCGGAAGACGAGTTGTTCTGGATCCTAGGATAAGGATAAGCGCTTAATAAGGCTTCATTG